TCTTTCTTTTGCATTACTCTAGTACAAAACACATCAAGTCAACAGGTGTCCGGGCAATATAGAAACCCTTGGGACTGGTGAGGTTCCCAAAGAAACAGTTTCTTTAAGACTGATGCCCACCCAGGGACTGGAGATTTTAAAAAAAAAGGCCAGAATTAAAAAAAAAAATTAAAAAGGAAAGGAAAAAATAGACCCTTAAAAAAGACATTCAGCTCTCATCCTCTGAAATTCTCTGAAATTCCCAGCGGGTTAAAGGTTTCAGAGGGTGGGGAAAGATAAAGGTCTACTTCTATGTGCATTATCCATTAAGAAAGTGCAAGAGAGGAAACTTTGAATTTGGAGAACAAACAGTAATGAGTCCAACATTTTACATCTTCAAAGAGCAAAGCAGGGTCTGCGAGCAATTAAAGTTCTGGGACATTAATATCTTCTGACCCTGTGGAAAAGGGCAATCAAATTCCAATCACGTCTAAAAAACATCTGGACAAATTTGAGCAAATGATTTTTCAACCCTCCGTATATTTCTTTAAATTACACTGTCATCAGAGGCAAGCCACATCCCAGAGCATGAAATAAATGAGAACTGTTTGGACTGACATTTTTCTTTCTTTTTTTTCCCCTTTTTTTTTCCCAGAGAGATGATGTGTGAACACTCAGCACCCACTGCTGAGGGCCCGAGCAAACGTGAAGCACCCAGTTAACAGCCTGGGAGGCAGAGCCAAGTGTAAATCATCACATCAGCACACCCACCGAGATAGTCCCAAGGGAGGAAGATAGGTTGAGCGGGCCAAAACGAGGACCATGAGCTGTACACGGTGGTGGGCTTTTATTCTTTCCCTTTTTTCCTCTTTAATTAAATCATATGGGAAAGACATTGCAGTTTGGTAGCAGACAGACAGGTGTTTGTGAGCAGCAGGAGGGACAGACAGACATGCTGTGGAGCAAAATATAGATTTTACATCTCTTTTTCATAAAGATTTTTTAACTGGGGGTGGCTTGGAAACGATGCAGAATAGCTAGGGGACGGTGGTCTACATCCTCTGTAGGGACAGCATGTGTTGATAAGAGCCCGACTGCAAAGGATGCAGAGGCTCATGGGCCAGACGACCATCCTTCATCCCCTCGGGGCCGTTGGAATTTAGGAACTGGCGATTCCGTCTGCTTTCCAAGCGAGTTCAGAGGAAAAGTTTAAGGAGGTGGAGGATTTTCTCGGGGAAGAGCAGAAGAGGGTAGTTAATTTCGCACTCACTTTGTAGCAAGCAGCATGTTTTTCCTGGAGTGGAGGTCGCTGGGGTCCGTGTGCTGTCTGTTCAGGTACTCAGAAACAGCTTTGGCTGGGAACTCCGTTTCGCAGATGTACCCAAAATCCCGGGCTAAATGAACGGCCTCACCTGGAGACAACGAGAGGGGGATTAACACCTCCGGGCACCGCCGGCCCCGGGCTGGGCTGGCTCCGACCTGCCACGGCACCGGGAGGATCCCACCGCTCTCCTGGAAGAGACCAGCTCCTTCGGGCTGCGTTTGGAAACTTGATAGCATCCCTTCCACCTTAGGGACACGCTCCATGTATATGCTTTCACTTCGCAAGCCCTATTTTGGGTGCAGAAGTTGACGGGATAGATTTTGAGCTGAGGAGATTTGTCTTTGCTACAATGCGCTTGTGTTGGTGTGTACCCACGCAGCTGGTTGTGCAGAACGGAGGGAAAGCTCACAGACACACACATACACACACACAGACACAAACACACACACAACTTGAAAATTAACTGGGCCAAAAAAAAAAAAAAGCCAAAACCAAAACAAACCAACGAGGGGAAACTAGTCAAATCCTGAAATACTAAAGGATCAAAACTTCTTTTAAGAGCAGAGAAACCGTTGCTGTTTCAGTACGTCAGATCATAGTCCAAAATTTTACAGATGTGGATATATTGCTAATAATAATGTCAATTCTTTGTGGGACATTATATACACACTTCATCCACATACAGAGCACTTGCACCATTATCACAGTTATCATGGCCACATCTGTAAAGTGATGGAGATAACTGCATTTAGCCCCATGGCAATTATTAATCTGCCTTTTTAACTGACCATCGTGCAACACAAACTCCTCTCTGCCCAGTGGAAAGGTAACAACTAATGGCAACCTTTTCTGTGAAAAAAATAATTATTATTCTAAGTCTAATTCTAATTGTCACTTTTCCTGCCTGCCTGGTTTCAGGTTTCTTGCCTCCAGAGGTTCGTGTCATCCAACTCCTACTGATGTACTTCATGGCACGAGAAGAAGACAGTAGCTGTAGAAAGGAGGAAAAGAGGAGAGGGAAGAAAAGCTCGGACTCTAGGGGGATTCCACCAGATTATACGTCAGCCCCTCTAGAATGAAGCATTAAACGTTTTTAAGCATCATCTGAGGGACGAGGGGGAAGATTTCCAACACGCGAAACAGGTATGTCTAATAACTCCAGGACCACAATATTTTTAACGATCAGGAGTTGCTTTCCAACGTCATCTCCTGCGTGCCAAGGCTTCTCGCTAATCATCAAACCGGCTAATGAAGGCAAGAGCACCCGGCGGAACCTGGAGCGGGTCCCTGCGCCGGGCACAGTCCTCCAAGGCAGCTCTAGGGCAACCCGGACCGGGACCGGCCGGAGCGTTCCTGCTCCCGGCGATGCGGAACAAGCAACGCCAAGGCCTGGCTGGTGGCAGGGGAAAAAAAAAGAAGATATAAAACTCCATCAGGTGGAGCTTCTTCCAAAAGAAGGGAGCTCTCTGGAGGTAAACTGTTGACTTGTAAAGGAATCAGGGGTGAGAAGGGGAATGTAGACCTTACTGCACACTTGACACAGATTTTAGCATCACTGCACAACCCCACCGGCTTCTGAGCCTCACACCAGCTTCGGGGAGGGGCTGATGCTGCTGTGAATAGGGTGTACTGGGTTCCACACACAGCGGGGTGAAACTGCGCTAACCCAGGCGCCCAAGGGCACTGGTCACTACCGAAATGTTTCACATCCCCTATAGGGCAATCCTATAGCCTTAATCTGCACTGTGCCTTGCCCGCTCGGCATCACCTACATGCGGGTACCAAGAGGAGCTCTTCCTTCTCAGTCCCCGTTTTTTTTGTGAGCCTGTCTTCAGCTCTGCATGCGGTAAGGTCTTATCGCTCATATAACTCAATCAAAAGAGTTGAAAAGTTAATATCTAGCACAAATATTTATGCACGCTTATATGCAGAAGAGATAAGTGGATTATTTATACGCCTCTCGGTGTGTATGTGTAAAGCAGATACATATAATTCATAATTGCATCCATACTATTCCGGTTGGGATTTTTTTTGGAGAAGGTCCAACTTCTCTCAGCATAAACACGCACATACCCTAAACTTATTAGTGGCTTTAAATTTTTCTTTTCGATACTGTAACAATAAATCAAAGAAACGCGCCGGCCACCAAAATAACATTAGTTGACTTGAAATTAGTTGAAAGTGCAGTCTCGCCTTTCCTCTTTTACTTCCTCAGGAATAGCTTGTCTCTTTTTTCAGTTCCAGCCACCTTAAGGGAACCCGAGCTCTGCGACTCTGAAATTGCTCGGAGTTCTTAAAACAAAAAAAAAGAAAAAATAAACTTTCTATTATTTGTCCTTACTGAGCATCTTGTAGGGGCCATAAATCAGCTCGGGGGGAGCGAATTAGCGGGAGGATGGAGTAGGCGTGAAGTCGGGGAACGCAGGCTGGAAAGGAACTGCAATGAGGAATAGGACAGCCCTGCAGATTTACACTCATACACACACATACACACACACACACACACATATACACACCCCCTCGTTCTTGCCACCAAGAGGGATCAATGATACTCCAGCCAGTTACTTCATTTTTGGGAACGGGATCCTTAACCATGCCAGTGTTCGTCCTTAACCCGCCCTGAATTTCACCTCTGCGAGGTTTTCCCACTTGATCCCGAAAGTTGGTTTGGTTTCTTTTTGTTGTTGTTTTGTAAAATGTCAGACAGGAGTTTAGAGCAGGCAGGGGTGTGAAGGGAGCTGCGACCCTCGGCTTACCTTCCACCAGGGAGGTGAGTAAAGTGACATTTGCGGCCTTACGCCTGCCGGCTGGTAAATTCAAACCGATTTTTTCTAGCCTTTCTCGCAAAGATCTCCCCCCGTTTTTCGATTTGGCTCTAGAATTGCAAAGAAATTAACATTGTGATTAACCCCGCAGTGTTCCTGGAAGAAACGTTTAGTCTGTGCAGTCAGGAGAGCCTGGGAGTGTTTTCACTCTGTGTTAAGGACTTCGGGGGTTTTGATTTCTGCTCGGCTTTGCTGAGGTTTACTTAATTTCTCCCAGGGGTAGGAGTGGGGATAAACCCACTTTTCTCCCTATTTTATCCACGGGAAACAAATAATGCCAAACAGCAAGAAATAATATACAAGGTTCTGATCTAAAGAGCAAATGGGTTCCTATTGTATGACACAAACTTTTATTAAGATGAAGCGAGGGGATGGACAGAAATTTAGAGGGCGATTAAATCCTGTTATTCCAGAAAAGAAACAGAGTAGGAAGAGGAGTTAAAAAACAAAACAAAATAAACCTGAAAGGCTCGAAGGGAGGATGTGTGCGCCTGTGGATAAATAGAAATGGATGAAAATATTTATTAAACCATTTCGCGCGCGTGTGTGTTCTTGTGCGGGAAGGCGATGCCGAGAGGAAGAGCTCACCTGAGGCAGAGCGCGTTATAGAGAGAGAATGGATTGCCTAGAGGAAGATTTGAATATCTGTCGGAGGTTACTGATGAGGGCAATAAAAGGATGAGTGAGCTATAGGTGGGAAATACGGAGCTATTGTTCGGACGCCCATACATATGTAAAGCCCCAGGGATGAAATCTTATCTCCTGCGAAATCAGGGAGAGTTTGGGCATCTAAGAATGGAGTCTACCCCAAATATATCTTAGTTGTCACTGAAAATTTGTTTAAGAATTAGTAGTCAAGCTTAGAGAAAGGAAAGCAGGAACTAAAGAACACTATTTTGCCAAGTAAACAGGGTTGGGTGGCAGAATTGTAAGTGAGCAGCTTTCTACATTTCATCTGCTCTGAACCAAAAGCTTGCCTAAAATTTAGATTCAAGATAGGAACTGAAGTCAGCAGGAGCCAATGATTATGGCTTGGGCCACCTCCAGAAATCCACTGAAGTTCAATAATAATGTTTCTTTACCTTGGTAATTATATTTTCTACAGGGTATCTCTCAGATGTTCTCTCTGCTCCATTTGTATTTGTACAGAAGGAGCAGGCAGGTTAGCATCTGTAAGTAAAAATCTCTGCTGCTCTCCCTGGCCAGTCTCGCAGCTGAACAATGATTACAGATATTCACGTGGAAGAGCATCTATTTTAGGAGACCCTGATTCTCACGTGTGGATTTGGGTCACTGACTGAATGTCTCAGGACTTTCCCCCTCATCTTCAGACACGAAGCCAGAGCCCCTGACATCATCACAGAATCTTTTTGCGGGGGCAAGGGAGAACCCCAAACATCAACTACATTTTGAAATACCTTGGAGTCATTGTATCCCAATTGCTGCTACAGAAATTGTTAAGATATTTCCTCTTCTAAGATTAGCAACTTTTGAACATGACATGAGATTTATTCACTGTCAATTTATATGTATTTGTTTCTGTCTTGAAGTTATCCTTAATTTTCCAGCTTGATGTTTGCCTCAAACATAGAAAATGAAGTCACACCCTCTCAACCTAACTGGGTGAACAGGTGCCTTATACTATACCATGACTTCTTCCCTGTTCTGACTGGAGATAGAGCCTTAGCTCACCTTTCTGGCAGACAAGTCATACTGACATCACAGTCCATCAGTAAATGTCAAGAAGAAAAAGGCCTTTCTCCCTAGTAGTCTTTCCAGCTGACGACCTCAGAACTTAAATTCTTGTTGCTGCTACAAAAAAAAAAAAGCAGTCTTCCACTTCATATTAGAGGGTGACAACCAGACTTGAGGAACAATCCTTGCTCCTCATTTTCCTCAGTACCAATAACGCCAACTGATTTGTGGTCTTCAGCAAAATCCTCCAGGCTATTAGTGGATGATTTGCACAAATGCAAAACAAGAAAGGCCTCAAGACCAAGTATGAGGAATTCCTCTAGTAACTTTCTCTGCAAGAAGCACTAACTTTCTGGCTTTCAGAGCTACTTGTTGATGGCTTTTCTTTAGTCAGGTAATTAGCTACTTTACAACTTGCCTACCAGTTCCCTGCCAATTTCAATAGTGGCTTTTGTGACACACGTGCCATAATTGACATAACTGCTGGATCTTGTTGCCATATAGAGAAAGCCTCGTGGATTTATCTAGGAAATCCCTAGAAATACATCAGGTCCTCAAATACTTCCAGTATGACCTGAAATATGCCCATCATGGCATTTTATTTTGTTTATTTTCTAAGAGGAGTATGAGGAGGAGAAAAGATAGAAAGTGTGTCATGTACAAGAGGAAAAAACTGCTTATCTCAGTTCCTTCTTTGGGACTGAACAAGGCCAACTATTTCTCTACTCTCCATACATTCATCTCAATGTCTGAACACAACATATTTTCATCAATGTTTCACACGCAGGCTATGACAATAAGATCAATGCATATTTGCAATCATCTTTGCTGTCGAGCAAGTATTGTTTGTGCATGCATAGATGCCCACACATGGGCATGTTCATGTCCCTGCCCCAACCTCTTACCTTCTAAGTACTCCTCCTAGGAGGGATGCATTCAGACACTCTGGAGGAGAAAGGCGTCTTTGAACTTCTCCCACAGTTACTTTGTATTTTGAAGTTGAACTAAGCAAAGACAAGCGGCCAGGTACAGAGCAAAACACCTCTCCGGTATTGACTGAAATTCCACCCAGGAATCCATCTTTATTCATCATCAAAGAAGTAACAGATTTTGGAGGAACCGGAACTGGAGAAAGAAAAGGGGAGGAGGGGAGAGAGAAATCATCACGCCACGAAGAAGCACAGGATAACCACAGTCTCCCTGACATGCACAGAACAGCAAAATGAAAGGGAATTTGGAGTATCTGGCTACCTCCAGCAACCTAAAGGGTGCTGCTCCCCCAACCTCTAGGAAACTGCTCCATGAATGATGGATGGAGAGAAGGGTGGTACAGTACAGCCTCTATGCAGGGGATCATTGGGAAATAAAATACATATTGGCAAGCACCTGGCAACTTTCGGGTTTGAGCCTGTGTCTCACCCAGAGCCCCCCGATGCCTTTTGTACAACGGACAGCGCCTTTCTGGAGGGGAAAAAAAGAGGAAAATTTACTTTTTTTTGGCTAATGTTTCCATTACTGCTAAGCTGAGCCAGGAATAAATTCACTACACGAAGGGAGTTGCTGTCTTAAATAAGTATCAAGGCTGGAGGATACAGCAACGAGAAGACAGCTCTGTTATTGCTTTGTGTTTTTATTAAGTCTGGTTTATGAAATAAAATGAGTTTTTTCCTTCAGAAAAATGAACACCAGGCAAAAAAATATCTGGTCTAACCGTGGTGTTCTCCACTCTGATCATATTTTGCTGTCCGTGACTTAGTAGGAACTCTCCTGCCCCTAAATAAAGCTGATTTACTTACTGTAACACATATTTCAAGGTGGTTATAAAGAAAAATAAAAAAGAAAACGACAAAGTGAAACTGCACAAAATAAACCCATGTTGTTCTGTCCAAGATAAAACGAAATACTTATTTTCTCTGAGAAACCAGTGAGGTTATTTTAAGAGTAACCAAGGGGATTATAACGAACAAATTCCTATAATAGCAACCAGATACACTCAGAAATAAACAACAAAAAATTTGTCTAAACTAAAACTGAGGGCAATTCCCCCGTGACATGAATTTTGTTTATAAATGAACTTAAACAGCTCTCCCTCATAATTGTGTGTAACTGTTATGATTTACAGCAGGTGCTCTAATCAATCACCCAATCACTTTAATTTATAGGGAGCCTCTCTGCATTTTCCCAGTTGCTTCATTTCTGCAAGTAATTGATAACAAACCATACTTAAGGTATGTTTTATGCAGGAGTTAATAAGAGCTGACAGCTGCTACTGCTGCTTCCTCTCGGATTCACGGCAACATGCCTTTTCTTATAGGAAATATACTCTGAAATTGGGGTTTTGTTGGTGCTAGAGCCCTGGCAGTCCAGCGGGCATGTTTCAGAGGAGAAGACTAATTGATTACACACTCTCGTCGAGCAGATACTACTTCACAGTCTCCCATTTCCACTCAATCAATTGCAAAACCGATTCGGCAAATACTAGGGTTCTATTATGCACATATGCCAGCTATTTAGGTGCTTATAATACATGTCAGTTAAGTCATAAAAACCATGTTTATTTGCAACATATCTGGAGAATCAAACCATTAGGGTTGAGCGGATATTTAAGTCGTCTGGAGCTGCTAAACAATAAGATCGGGTATCCTAATATATTACCAAGTGCTAACTACTGGGCAATTGCCAATTTTATAACCTCAGTGTATGGAATAGACACAACCGTGTTTCACTGTTTTTATTACGGATCATTTCCTACTGCCAGACCAGACCCCCACAATAAAAGCTCTATAACAGCTAAAAACCAAAAGGCATGTCGATTTTAGATATACATTTTGCTTCTATGCCTTGTATATAGTCTCTAGTATAAACAAATTATTTTGAGTGACTTGACTTCAGGGAATCAGAAAGTGAAATGGATTCCTATTTCTCTATTATTTTTAGTTAGGCACTTTATGCAGCTCATAAAGGCGGTTTCAAATAGTTTGAGAACGGCTCAGAAACAGTTATAAAAGAGTTAGAGGGCAGCTCCTGCTTTCGTTGCTATTAATAGGATTTTCTTTTTGCCATGGATTGTATAGGAAAAGACTCGTTTAGGGTATCAGGGGCAGTAACGTCAGACAAATATAGATATCTTTCCCCCCTTTACACATAAATATCTCACTTATTTCATACACGATGTTCTTTCTATTCGAGTGAAGCATCAAGAAAAAGCAATAAATCTATTATCATATTTAAAAAAAAAGTTAAATGAAACAGTGCCACCAGACAGATTTTCATGACTGGCATTTTTAAATCCGCACAAACACACGGACTCAGTGGTTCGAGTACACCTTTGCCGTGGCTATATTTAGTGACCAGTTTATCAGGTCACTGTCCAGTGAACTGAGAAATTAAACAAGAGGCAGCAATTCCACGAACATCTGATCTTAGTCCAAACTCACTAAAGAGAGAAGGACCCGTACAACGCTTAAATGTACCTCACCCCACTCACTTTGGCCTTTTGGAGCACTTATTACATTCGTTAACCTTTGAAATATGGATTTTCACGTGCTCGGTACTTTTTTTTCCCCCTTGCAGATTGCTATTGGGAAGCGGACTGGCACCCTTCCCTGCTATGCTGAGAGCTCCTCAGCTTTTCTTTTTACCACTGTTTCCCTGAAAGGGACCGTAAGAACATATCCATTAGCTGGAGTCTAATAACTCTGAACCCATTTTAGAGGCTTACCAGGCGGTGTAAGCATATCTATTGCAATTTCATAGCTTCAGAGTGATGTATTCTATCTAGGCTCTATATCTTCTGTAAATTACCTAATGCTGCCTCTAAAAAAGTGCTTGCCATGGAATGAATTATCTCTATCTATATCATATCTATATGTTTATCATGGCTAGAGCTTTTCAGATATAGCCCAGACATCACCAGAGATAATATAACGTGGAGGTTTTAGTGGGTGAAGAGATCTATGCGTCCGCGTGTGCAGCTGCATGTGTCAAATCCCCGCGTGTATGTAAATAAGTCCTAATGCAGAGTATATTTTTAGCTGATGTCAACTTTCCCAGTTGGTTAGGGATTGCCATGACTGCTGAAATAAGACAGAATAGCACACACATATCTACACAGCGTCCTCACCACTCCTGCTTTCACTTTATCCCATTTAGTTCTTCTTAGCCCCAACAGAAACTGTTCCATTCTCTTTCAGTCCCGAACTATACTTGTTCTGTGCGTGAGCACTCACAAATATATATTTCCCCCTTCCAACATCTCGGCCTTCTTTCTTTCTTTGCATTTCTATATTTATCTGCGCTGTCTCTTTTTTCCTCTCCTTTCTCCTTTTCCATCCTTCTATCTTTTTCCTCCCACTTTCTTTCTTTCATCCCTCTTTTTTTTTTCTTGCCTCTTTCTCCTCCTGTGGTTACTTCTAGCCTCTTTGTCATTTCTCCCCCTTCCATTTCTCTTCAGCTTATCAATAAACCGGGAGAGCAACAGTAGCCGCTTGATTTGTTAGTAATTATAAGCATACTGTTCCTGCAAACGGGATCTCTAGATGAGTGAGATCGCTTTAAAACGACAGCAGGAAATGGTGGGGAAATGGAGCATGGCGAAACTCAGCGTGAAGCTTTCAGTTCTTTACATGTTTACAATTTTCTGTGCATACATTAAGTCTTAGGGTTCCTTTTCTTTTTTTTTTTGGTGGTGTTTCTCTGTTGTGTTGCTCATAAATGCGTGAAAATGTGCACAAACGTGAACGCACAAGAGGACATGGCAATAAAAGCCATTTTACCTACACAAAATATAAAGAAAGAATAGATTTATGGCTTGAGAACAGATGAATAATAAGGGTTTATGCTATGGATATCATTGCAATAACCCCGATGTGATAGTCGACCAGTCAAACAATCAATCAGAATAAATATTTCTTATATTTATTACCAAACGGCATGGAAAAATTAATTATTCATCAACTATCAAACTTGTTTCCTGGGAGATTTTAATTTTGCCTACTGAACCTGAAATTGGTAAAAAGTTCTTTATCCATTCTAACAGGACTTTGCTGTAACTGGTGATTTGGTCCGACTTGGTAGCCGAACCTAAAAAGCCCGGGAGCAGCGTCTTACCCACTGAAACTAAAAGCCTCGGATCTTATTTTAATTTTAATGAACAAATACACAAAATGTGTGTTCATCTCCCGTTTCCTCCTGTCCCTCTCGTCTCCTCCTCTTCTCCCGCCCCTCTTCTCCACCGCACTCCCTTTCCCCTGAAAGCCGGGACTGAATTTCAAAGTGAAATGTACTCCCTCGAAATTGTTTCGCATTCAATTAAAGGGGATCCCAGGCTCCAGTGGGTGATTCAGGAATAAGCATGAAACCGAGTAGCAGTGAACCAACATCTCCGATTCCCAGATCTATCACCTGAAAAGCTGAGGTCAGAATGATTTTCAGTTAATCATTTATTCTACTTCAAGAAGAGGTGGGGAGGGAACTCATGCTGCATTAAGAGTTAAAAACAAAAGGATAAGACACTTTTTTTCATATTTCATTAAAATAGTAGGAACAATAGAACCTATTTGCAAGGAGACCACGAATTAAGGTGCTAGAGTTAAAATGGCCTTCACTGTTAAAACAGATGTGAGTGTGCGAACGATCGTCAGAAACAGCTGAAAGTAAATAGATACATCAGAATAATTTTAAGGTCACTGACTGTGCCCCAGAGTCACAAAAAATTAACTTGGGAGTTGGGCCACGCAAGGTTTTGCAAGAGGACAACTTCTTTCGCCATAGACGGTGCCAAGCAAATTTCAGATGAGCAGTTGACAAGGGGACCCGATCTTTTATTCTTGACACATGGAAATTACCCTTCATATCAGGAGAAGTCGAGGGAAAGGCCTCAAAACGTGCAGCCGGTAAGCTCTGAAAGCCGAGTTAAATCTGATATTAATGCTCATGGTGATTATTATCTTCTTGATGATTTATCTGGCTCCCTCCCTCCCACTTTCACCACCCAAATCTTAATGGAACTAGGAGTTAACGATGATTTTTTAATGTCTCGTTGGATTTTTTAGACTGTTAATGTACCGCATCCTTCTCATTATTAGTTTATTGATTGTTCATTGACCAGCCCCCTTCAAATCGTATTAACCACCCTCTGCCAGTTTAGATTAGGGGAGTTTAAAAAGCACCTTTCATTATTTCATCGCCACCGCCACCACCACCACGGTAGAGTTCAGGCTTGGTAGCTTAATGCTCGCTCTAATGGGGCAGCTAAGAGACGAGGGGCCACGGTCCCTGCCTATTGCATTAATAGCTCAAAGGGGGCTAATACAGAAAATTAGCCTTAAACGAGCTCTGGAGATCTCCAAATGAAAGAGCCATTTATCACGCTGGCTACCTTCACTCCACTCGTTTGCTCTCTCTACTGGGAACAACTCATTTCCTCTTAACTAAATTACTTCAGAAATGTCAAGTAAGCTCAGATAGCAAACATAACAAGAGGCTGCCTATATGTAATCTATTGTGCGGGATCGATACGCGAGATAAATCGATAGCCGTGTATGAATCCCTATATAATTTCCTTAATATTTTAGCAAAGCTTTTGCATGGATAGATAATTCCCTCTGCAGGCCTCAAAGACCAGACAAAAGAAAAAGACTCTTACAGTCTGGATGATGCAATTGAGTTTAGACTTCAAGTCCCCATCATACTTTCCCACCACTTTGTAATTAAAGACTTTGAGGCACTCCAACACTCATCTAGCAAATATATATCATGGGATTGCTCCACTGCACAAAAATCAGTCAATACCTATCTGCCTACATATCTATGCCATCTGCCTGCAATAGTGACGTACGGAGTTTAAATAACTTATTCTTGCTTCAGAGTACATCCTCACAGCTACAAACTACAGGGAACAAAGAGAAATTGATACTCTGTTGCTCCTTCTCTCATCCTGATTAAATATTGACTGCCACAAATGTGACCTGCTGTTTATTACCCATTTCTCTTCCTCTGCACCCAGGAAATTCGCTATGTCAAAATAAAACCCCAAAACACCAAAAAAATAGAAGACCAAACCCTAAAAACTCCCCCAACACCCCCCCCCCCAAAAAGAAACCCCCCATAAAAACCCAGCTCACAATATTCTTTTATTCTGGAATGTTTCTTAGAGCTCAGCATTACTTCTAAGGAAGAAAATGCTGCTACAGTGACTTTTAAACAGTTGCACACGCATCTGAAGATCTTTTTTAGTAACCTAATTTCCAAAGTGCATGTGTCTCCTGTTCATCATGTGTAAACTCAGAGTATCTCTTCTGGCTGCAAATAGGCACATGTAATCCCACCTAGATGGGACTGGGTCTCTTTAGGCTGCAGTTGCTCGACCTGGGGCCGTTGCAATGCCTACACACAAAAAGCACACCTAAATATATACTAATACATATAAAAATCTGTTCCTAATACAGATAATTATTAACATTCACATTCTAGTGCTTCTTGCTATCTAACTCTACCACCCAGCATACACATGGAGTGTCTCTGCTGTCCTCGTCAGCCGAAGGAGGGAGAGACACTGACGTGTGTGTCTGTTCAGAAAAAAATTAAATAATAATAAATAAATCCTTTTGGACTGCGTGTTCTCCGAAAAACCAGAACGGAACAACGTTAGAAATGAGTCTCTCCATCACAAATCAGGCACCAATTAATCAAATACACCCAAGAGGAAACATTGTCTATGAGGTGTCAAGCGGGGGTGGGGAAAGGGGAGGAGAGTGAGGGGAAAAAAAACCAAAAAGGATAAAAATACAACCAGAAGCAATCAGGTTACAGACCTTGAGTAGAAACCCCACTAAACATTCAAACTGAACCAAAGCAGGAGAAACAAACAACCTTTGTTTTTTGTTTGTTTCTTTCTTTTTTTTCAAAGGTAAGTAGCTTTCGGTTTCTTAAAAAAAAGAACCTTCGACCTTTCAACCCATAGTCATAAATGGTGCTGCCAAATGGTCTTCAAGTTTTCATTTGTCCTCCCTCAAATAACTAGACGTTGATCGTGTGTGTGAAAGAGAGACTGTACACGAGGATTTAAATTAAAGAAAAACCCAAACAACCAACAAGGAAACAAACCATAAATACACGGAAAGACCTCATGCTGCCTTCAACACATTTTAAATAAACACCCTCCCTGTCATTTTGCTTTACATCCTAGAAGATCATCTCTATTAAACTATTTGTGCGCATTTGACAAATAACAAGGTCCTGGAGATAAGTGCTGTTGAGAGTAAGCATAAGGGACAGCATTTCTAAGCCTCATCTCTGGTACTTAAAATTGATTCTAGAAATAGAAACTCCTTAGATAATTAAAGATAGCTTTCCCTTCATTTGCAGCGTGTGATCTGTTTAATGTCTATCAGCATAACACAACACTAATCGCCAAGCATCTTCGAGTGACTGTCAGAGAAATGTAAAAAAATTAAGCAGCTGCAATACGCCCAAAATGAGTTATTGTAATTACATTTAATTAGTTTAATTAGTTAATTATTTTGCTTACAGCTGTACAAGAGACTGCAAACATTTGTTAATATCACATTCCCTTTAACAGTATGGGGTGATTCTGCAGTTACACTAAATCATGGGCGCATATGTAGAAAGATGTAAAAAATGGGCATGGGGAAGGGGGGAAGCTTGGAGGAAAGGGGGAAGGGGGCCGGGGCTGCCTTTGCATGGGCATCTCTTTCTTTCCCCCTCAAGTTTGATTCGCCTGGAAAATGCATTTAAGCCCCAAAGGGAATCAACCTCCTTCCCCCATTAAAAGCCAAGGGGTCCCCATTGAGGACTATCCGGGGGAAAAGAGGAAGGAGCCTGTGGAAACTGCATTCGAGCATGGGGTGCTCCATTAGAGAGCGTTTGTGTAATTAAACCCTTTGAAGGACAGGGAGGCTGAGTTAGAAACTTTTCTTTTCACATATCTTATCCCTTCACTCTATCTGCCGCTCCAATCAACTATTCATCTGGCTGCCATGTATGTCTGCTTCCCGGAGAAATTAATTGCCCCAAAGTCAAAATATATCATGAAGATATTGCTACACAGTAAAAGTTTGTCTAGCTTATTGGAATAATCCATACCTTTTTTAATGACAGACTGGTCCAATAAGTTCATACCGCTGTTATTGGCATCTTCAACTGACTGTGGATATAAAAACATCACTATTCAAATTGACTGGATATTAAAGAATCGCGTACATAAATCATGTCATTCCAAACTGGAGCGCCTGTTATTTCCATTTATATTAATTCACTGGGGGAGGAGGGATTTTTTTATTATTATTATTGTTGCTATTATTATTTCCCCAAATCGACAAGGAAATGAAATTCTTACAAATTATATAGTCTTCTAATAAAACAAAAAGAGGTGTGAAGCATATGGGGTGCAATACTGGTTTTGTTATCTTATAAAACATAGATATCACATAGACTTCTTTGCATTCCATAAAGCTTTATATTTCGTCCTTTGAAAATGTGGCAATTTGGCAACATCTGCAAGATCTATTGCATGACATAAATGAACACGATTAAGGACAACTTAAATGTTCCCTCCCCTTCCCTCCCCCCTCCTTTTTTTTTTTTTTTTGTTTGTTTGTTTAACCCTTCTACGTCTTAATAATTCAAGGGCCATTTACTTTTTATATATCATAGTTTACATTATGGACTTTTAATTAAAGCCTGAGCCTTTCGGAGCGCAGCGCAACGCCCACATCGTACAGGGGACGAGCAGAAAGAGATTTACAGCTCCAGAGGTTGCTTCCGTGTCCTGAATTAGTGGGGACGGGGAGGGAGGAGCGGGAATATACATTATCAGAAGTATGAACCATCAAATTGATTGCCTAGAAAAAAAACTCTCCCGATTTCAAAGCCTTGTTTTCCCTCCATTTTCACCCTTTCTTTTCAGCCCTCTGAGGAGCACACCTGTTATTATAGCATTAACTTCTTTAGCAAGGAAGAGAACAAAGACGGGCACAGAGGACACAGCAAATGTTAGGTTTCATTTCTCAACACGAAAGTGAGATATACAAAAATCCCTGAACAAACCAACCAAAATTACAGCTGAACCTGCGTTCGGCACAGTAAAATCAACTACCAAAGAGAAGAGGTGTCATTAGAGCAATTTATTGCAGAATTCTGACAGGTTCCGGTTTAGGCTGAATTCTGGAGAAATGGGAGACCTGAGGGTTTCTTGGCTTTATTGTTTTATTTTTCTCATTACTGTTTAGGATTGGGGATTTTCAGTGTTATTGTATATTTGGGGAGTAGACACATTTTTCCTTGATAAAGAAAACCCCTTTACAACAAAGCAGTAATTTTCTTCCCTATTATTTTAACTTGATCTTTGCTACACCGAGAGGCTGAGCTGATCCGGATCCAGCCCTTATCTCCGTCTCTCTGCTCAGCGGAGACATTCCAGACGGAATATGAGAAAATTACATCTCCCCAAAATGTGACGAACAATATTTTCTATGAGAGCTATCCTTTCATTTTCCTTGAATAGATCCTCAAACGAGCGCGCACACACACACACGGAGCGGTGCCTTATGTGATGTGTTTGGGCATGGCTGTGTCTCTCTCACATAATCAATAGGCTTCATACCTAAAGGGCACAAAATAAAATTACAAAGTCTTCCCTCCTTTCCCTGAGCAGCTCCCAACGAGGGATGATGAGCAAATCCTGCAGCCTGCTGGAGTGCAGCGTGGCGCACCTCGACGGCCCAGAATTGGAGGTAAACATGAAACAGTACCTTCCCTTTTATTCTCTTCCATCTTTCCTCCTTATCTCACCTTATCTCTGGAGTCGATATTGTGCACAAGCTTTATGCGTGTGCGTGCACTCCGCTCGCTCCATCAGCAACGTGGGTTAGTTGTTGTAGTTAATGAGAAGACTCCTGTCTGATTTTCTATCTAATTACGCCCTCCTGCTGGGTTTTTGTACAGGATATTCGCTCAGCATGCTGGCAGTTAATAGTCACAGAGAGGATCGTAAAGATTTAATTAGGACTGCATGCGGAAACGTGGAAAAACAACTCAGACTTTTAATTACTAGACTTCTTTAGTTAAAAGTGATACCAGGGGTTACTTTATAAGAGACTTGGGTGTTTTGGTGCAACTTAACTTTCCGTGTCTCTAGCTAGCACGTAGTAGCAGTGTGAGTGAGGAGGAGGAGTGGAAGTGTGTGTGCAGGGAGGGGAAAGGTGATGAGTTTCCAGATATATACTTAGAAAATCTAGAGAGGAAGATTCCCCTCCCTTCCCTCCTCCAATAATCTGATAGCCTGGAGCTTCGTAAATACTACATATAACCACCTTATTCGACAGCTATGGATATATCTGAGAGGAAAACCTTAAAATGGAGTTTTTTGTTTTCCTTCAAAGAGTGTCGAGAATTTGAATTTTCCCTTTCATATTTCCTTTATCATATCTTTTACTACTATAATTCCACTTTCGCCTAGCCGGTGGGGGGGAAAATATCTGGGATTGCAATGCTGGGCTTCTTTTCAGAGTCTCTATTAGATAATGCGAATTTGCTTTCAGTAAGTAGGTCTTGGCTTCTCCGTTCCCTGTCTGAGGGCTGCAAATCGCAGATTGAAAATTCCTCTCGAAAGGAGCAGCAATAGCAATACAATACGTCCTGTTTACAATAACAGAGCGCTATCGTGTTACAATCGCTTTATTCCAGCCCTGGACAATGGCTCACACATGGCCTGGATTTGGTGTTTATAAAATAACCACTG